TTAGTTTATATATAAATAAGACTAGCGCTCTTACTTTAAAGCTACTTACTTAAATAAAACCCTTATTTAAGAGGTCCCTTAGTATCTTCTTTAGCACTAATAGCTCTATATATAATATACTATATAGCGGTCTAAATAGTATAAGTAGTTCCTACCCCTTCTTATTAGTATAGAGTATAATCCTATAGTCTACCCTTAGCTTATATAGGTTAAGCTTATCCGCTTCTTAAGACTTAAATAGCGGTAGGAGGTTATAAAAGCGCTTTAGTATCTATTACTATAGCTTAGAGGGCGACTTTAGCTTCTTTATTTAAAGGGCCTTATCGATATCCGCTAAGCTAACTATATAGACCGCTATATTAGCCGCTACCTAGCCTTACCCTTACTCTACTTATTATATAGTTCTTATAAAGATAGAGGTAAGGACTTCTTATACTAAGTATAAAGCTTATATACTTAGTCCTATACCTATAAAACTATCGTTATAGCGGACCTACCGTTATATAGGCCTAAACTATAGCTTCCTTTAATATAAAACTAAGTATAACTCTATATATAATAACTAGGGTTTCCTAAGGATTAAGGGAAACTTTAGTTAAGGGATTATATAAGCTACGATAAGCTTATAATAACTATCGACCTTTATAGCTAGCTATATAATACCCTTAATTACTATACCTTCTATCGCGCTTAAGGCGCCCTTTACTTACCTTAGGGCGATCTTTTCTACTAGTACTTATATCTCTTATATAAGCGCTTTATTAACTATAGCGTAGTACTAATAGCCCTTATTTATAAGGGCAGTAATAAGTAAGGAGTTATTAATTATAACCTATATTAAAGTAGGCTCCTTTTCTATATAAGTAAATAATTCTTCCTTCTCTCTTACTAGTACTAGTAATTAAGGCTCTAGAGCTTATCTTTACTCTAGAGCTACTCTTTTTCCTTTAGGCTTATAAGGAACGGTGTTCCTACTATAAATAAAGTAGCTATAATATACTTGTCGAGAAGAAGGTCCGAACGAGTTGAGGTCCCTAGGTCTCTCTAGGTAATACAGCTTGAAACCAGGTAAGAAGGGAAGTCTGCAGACTATTGTTTCTTCTTCCTAGACCACTGAGGGGTCCGGAGGATCTCCTATTCGATCGGGATCCTCCAAGGAGTCCGGTATATCTTTTACTGGCTCGGGGACCTCAAGAGATTGAACTATCGACCTAATAGCTTGGAAAGCTATTGATCGGGGAGATCGAGCTGAATGTGCTGACGTAGATGGCTTACGCGGCCTTCAGTGAGAGGCAAGGAGTGCCCTCTTCCTGATAGAATGTATATTATACCTGAACACGGGATATGAACATAGGGAAGGCACAGAGGGATATAAAAGGGGAGGGCTAGACGGATACAGGGCAAACAGAGGAGAGAAAAAACACATGCACATCACCGACTATCAGATCATCTGAGAATCTACCTACGAAAAGTCCCTTTATCCACTTTTATGCCCACTTATGCTCTCTTCTTCGAGAGTTATGAGCCCGGGAGAAACAGACCTGTTTCTGTAACTTCCGGTGGCAATGCAACCTTGAGAAAGAACCCTCTTCCCGCACGCTTCACACCACCTCGGCTTATCTTCGCCACCTTTTCGGCCCCTACGGCAGTTGAAGATGTCGAAGACCTCGGCTATGGCGCCGACGAAGCGGACAATTCTAACTGAACCCCAGGACTGGGACCGTTGGGTCAAGGAGCCTGAGCACGAGTGGATAAGCTTATCCACAAGCTGATCTTTCAAGATGGCTCTGAAGCTATGGAGCTACCTGAGCGCCCGACTTTTGACGACTTTGCACAAGGCGTTCGACAGTTTGTTAATCTAACCAGCGAACAGCAAAGAGCTTACTCGGCGGCACTTCATGAATATGAGGGCAGGCGTAAGGAATACCTTTACGAGACTAAGCTAATCACGGCAGCCAGGACAGCTATTACGGAGTCTATTAGCACTGCTAAACTAACCTCCCTTCGAGAAGGGGATACGCTTAGACAGTGGCTGCAGAAGCTAGAAGCATCGACTGCTCCTTCACGCGGCTTTATGACTGACCGAATTGGGAAGCAGTATTCGAGTCACCTTCGTACTAGTACTAAGACTAACATATTAGACTGGCTGACTAAGTGGGAAGAGATTATAGAAGAAGCTGACCTTTACTTCCTAACTGAGGCACTAACAGGCCAGTGGCTACGAGATATAGCTAGCGTCATCCGACCTCTTAGCGATGGATACGCCACTATCTTCTACGAAGACAGCCGAAGAATCGATGAAGAAGCAGCAACTGCTCAATATAGGGTCTATCAAGCTCTTCGACCAGACTCTATCGGAAGCACGCCTACTTTGGCAGCAGTACCACCTTCTTCGACTCACTGGACCTTTCAGCTTGTTGCTAGAAAAATCAGAGAAATTGCAGAGCAACAGCCGCACCAGCAGAAAGGAGGAATCAAGAGAGGTGGCTTTCTAGCTGATAAAGAAACTGATGAAAACGACCCTTCTGAAGAAAGACCGAAAAAGAAGAGAAAAGGGAAGAAACCTGACACAACCAAAAACACAGAGAAAACCGATAAAACCGATAAAAACCGATGCCCTGCGTGTGGACGGATAAGTCATGTTCTTTCTGACTGCTGGGCTCTCTTCGAAGATAAACGCCCCTCGTGGTGTGATTCGAATCCTCGAATAGAAGAAAGGGTGCAAAAGGCCCTTGAAAATGACCCAGATTTGAGAAAGAAGGTGGAAAAATCCGTCATGAGAAGGAGGCATAGCAACTACCGAAGAATCGGATAGTCGGAAGAATCGTTGGGCACGCAAACCCTGCCTTTGTCTTTAAGGCTAGCCAAACGACCGCCTCTAACGACTACCCTCTTCGAAAGTCGACTCTGCTAGACTCAGCAGCTTCTTTACATATTTGCAATAACCTATCGAAATTCCGGTCTTTTAGAAAAGCAAGAAACGAATACCTAGTCACAGGGGATTCAGAAGTCCGGATCGAAGGTTATGGCAGAGTCAACGTTACGGTCACGGCCCTAGGCGGGTCATTACGGTCTTTACGGTTAAAAACCGTTGCTTATTGCCCGAGATTTTCAGCAAGCCTGGTATCTTTCCAGGCTCTTCGAGACGAAGGAATCTACTGGGATACCTTCACAGAGCCAACACGGCTAGTCTACCGAGACAAGAGACCGATTTGTATTTTATTTCTCCCGGGACCCAAGACCGACAGCGTCAGCAGAAGCTAGCCTTTGGCACGCCCGACTAGGTCACCCGGGACCCCTAGCTTTACTAAAGCTAGGACTACGAAAAGGAGTGCATATTCGAGGTCCGAGGACCCATGAATGCCAGCACTGCGCTCAAGGGAGGGCAATAAGACAGGTTTCTCGAAGAACCCCTATTCGAGACGAACGTCAAGAGCCCTGCCAAGAGATTTGGATCGACTGGACCGAGCTTACCCTGATTTCGAGGGCTATGTCCGTGTGATGTTTATCACAGACGCATATTCGGGCATGGTTTTCCCTATTTCCTTAAGACCTATCATTCAAAGCATCACCTAGCCGCACTTCGAGATTTCGTTAGCTGGATGAAGCTTCGTTTTGACTACACGGTGAAAATCGTACGGTCTGACGGAGAGCTATTCACTAATAAGATTAAGAAGTGGCTACGAAAGAGAGGAATTTCAGCAGAAAAATCAGCCTCGAATACACAAGCCCAGAACGGAGGGGCAGAGCGGTCCGGTGGAATTGTTATTGAAAGGGCTCGCAAGATGAGGATTGCAGCAGGCCTTCCTCACGACCTATGGAAAGAGACCGTGGAAGCATCCTGCTATCTACGGAATCGAACCCCTCGAGCCCCTAGGACTACGAACTCGATTTCGAATTCGTCGGAAGACTGGAAAACACCTCTTGAGCTCTTTACGAAGAAGGATCAACCTCAACAGCATGCCCAGCTCAAGGCGTACGGCTGCAGAGCCTATGCCATGACTTCTAACGCACAGCTAGGCAAGAAAAAGAGGCAGAAGCTTGATCCACGGTCACATATAGGATACCTGGTTGGATATAATTCAACGAATATCTTCCGAATCTGGATTCCACAACGAAGAAAGGTCATTTCGACAAGGGATGTTATTTTCGATGAATTTACCTATTTTGATGGGAAATTCGAGCAGCCGACGCTGCTTCCTAGCATCAATGACCTAATTCAACGCGTTGAGATACCGGAGGACCAGAAAATCAACCAGGAAATCCTTGACGAAGAATCGGAGCTTGAGAGCGTGTTCGACGAAGACTCGGAGGAAGAAGAAGAGGAACAGACCGACCTTACCGATAACGAAGAAGACTATAAGAGGGCTAGGAGCTTGAAGAAGCTTCTCTTATAACACCTCCACTGACAGAAGAAGATCCTGAGGCAGGATTCTTGGTCTCTCTTCCGGTTGCTACCCCTAAGGGGTGGGGCGGTTTGACAACTCCTGAAAGCTTCCTTTTATCAATCGACGAGTCAAACAGACCTCTTTCTACATCGTCTACCAAGGAATCGTCTGATCAGATGATAGGGTAGATCCGGAACTCAAACCACTGCCGACTTTGGACCGATTTAATGACTTTTATCCTACTCCTATAGAGGACGGGGTACACGGAGCCTTTATTGCTGGACGACTATTCAAGCCAAAACCAAGGACCAAGGTACACAAGAAGGACCTACCAGACCCACCAGAAAACACCAAGCAGCTAGAAAAGCACCCTTTAAAGAGGAATTTGTTCAAGCTCAAAAGGACCACTTAGCCTCTCACGAGGAGATGGGGTCCTTTATCGAAGTTCCTTGGAAGAAGGCTGCGGGCAAGCAAATTCTATACTGCAAATGGGTCTTTACCTATAAAACGAATAAGCATGGGTTCCTTCTAAAGTGCAAAGCCCGCCTTGTGGTCTGCGGCAACCAGCAGGAAAGGGGGGATCTACCGACTCGAGCAACGACCCTAGCAGGGATGTCTTTCCGGGCACTCATGGCTATTGCAGCAGAATTCGACCTCGAACTTGATCAAATGGATGCAGTAAACGCCTTCGTTAACTGTCCACTCGAGGAGGAGGTAGTCTTTATGAGGATGCCTCCGGGTTTAGCAAACCAGGCAGAATTCTTTTGCTCCGAAAGCCCTATACGGTCTACGACGATCCCCTTTGCTTTGGCAACAGCACCTACCCGATCCCTAGAGGAATTAGGATTCGAAAAGGTCCCACAAGAACCTTGTGTGATGAAGAAGGGGGCAGTCATTGTCTTCTTCTACGTTGACGATATTGTCTGGGCCTATAAGAAAGAAGACCAAGGAATAGCTATGGAGGCTATGCGAGGACTGCAAGAACGATATAAAATGACATTGCTTGGGGAGCCCCGCTGGTTCCTAGGCATACACATCCTTCGGGACCGGACTAAGAAGACGATTTGGCTGACGCAAGATGCCTATATCGAGAAAATAGCCCACAAGCTATTAGGACCGGACCGACTTTCCTCAAAGCTTCCAGACACACCAATGACAACAGAAGAGCTACTCCCTTCTACTAGCCGAGCAAGCGAACAGGAAATTCATAGGTACCTACAGAAGGTAGGATCTATCCTCTTTGCAGCTATTTCGACGAGACCAGATATCGCCTTTGCGGTCTCTCGGCTAGCTAGACATAACCAGAACCCCAACGAATCACACCAGAAGGCAGCAGACCGGGTTATTCTTTACCTCTATAATACCCGTTCCTTTGAATTCGCCTAGAGGATCAACCGACAAGAGAGCCGATATCTTTATTTGCTCTAGTGATTCTTCCTTTGCCGATAATTCTCTTGACAGAAAGAGCTCACAGGGTTATATTATGACCCTATTCGGTGGACCTATTGCGTGGAGAGCTTCGAAACAAGCAACAGTCACTACTTCTAGCACCGAAGCCGAATTGCTGGCTATTTCAGAGGCAGCAAAAGAAGCTATTTTTCTTAGCCGGATGCTTAGGGCCCTATACCTTCAAATTCCGGACCCTTTGCAGCTAGAATGTGATAATAGTCAGACGATAAGACTGCTTGCAGAAACGAACGCGAAGCTATCAACGAGACTACGACATGTTGATATCCATCAGCATTGGTTACGCCAAGAGACTCAAGAAGGAAGAATTCAAGTCCGTTGGGTTCCAACGGCACAGATGAAAGCAGACGGACTAACCAAGGCACTCCCTCGTCAGAAACTACAGAAATTCCAAGAGATTATTGGAATAGTTGACTTAAAAACCAGGCTTCGGCTTGAGACCCGGATGGAAGACCTACGAGACCGGATTCTAGTAGGACGGTTAGGAGAGAGGCCCTTGACCGCATAGGAATATTAGGGGAGGTCTCCTGGCCACGACTACACGGTAACCTCGTTGAGGACCTATAACCCTTTGGCTGTAGCTTTGACCCGTTGGGACGGCTCATAGCTAAGGGGGTGTGTCGAGAAGAAGGTCCGAACGAGTTGAGGTCCCTAGGTCTCTCTAGGTAATACAGCTTGAAACCAGGTAAGAAGGAAGTCTGCAGACTATTGTTTCTTCTTCCTAGGGGAGGGCTAGACGGATACAGGGCAACTGGACAGAAAAAAAAAAACACATGCACATCACCGACTATCAGATCATCTGAGAATCTACCTACGAAAAGTCCCTTTATCCACTTTTATGCCCACTTATGCTCTCTTCTTCGCGAGAATACTCTCCTAATTATATAAGCTAATAAGTAGTATATTAATTATAGATAAAACCTTATCCTATAGAGTAAGAATCGCTAGTTATTTTATATATTATTATATATTAAATAGGTTACCGGTTATCGTATAATCGGGAATCGAAGGAATAGAGCTAGCTTAGAATGCTAGCTAAGACCTCTTAAGAATACCGGTACGACTAACCTCCTTTAAATATAAATATTAAAGGAACTAAGATACTTCTAGATTTACTCGAGGTATTACGGAATTCCTTAGTCTTAGGGCTATACGGCAGCCTAAATCTAGTCCCGAAAGGTTCTTCCGTTTAGCTATAATTATCTATATAAGACAGTATATCCGCTGGTAGATAGAGAGAGAATTATTAACTTTAATACCTCTTCTATATACTAATATACTACTAATAAATTCCGTTAAAAATCCTACCTTATACTCCTTCTTCCCCTCTATTACGTAGTCTTATATAATTCCTTAATTTCCTAAAATTCCGCTTTTGCTTATATACCTTAAGAGGTTATAAGCCCGGCTTACTCCTTTTAAGCTAGGAAATTAACTACTTATACCTTTAAAATTCCTCGTCGAAATATTTAATTAAAATTCCTTTCGAAATTCCCCTTAACTTCTTTTACCTTCCTACGCTCTTAAACTCCCGTCTAGACTTCTCGATCCCTACGAACGAAATAATACTGAATTTATATAAAATAAGTAGATAGAAAGAATATAAATTTACTAGACTTAAGGGAAATTTAAATTATACCTTATAGACTATAAGGATAGAGGCTATCCTTATAAAAGAAAAGCTTATTACTGCTCTAGAGTAAGTAAATTATATATAGACTATAGAGGCTTTATTTATAATATTCCTTTAAGTTAAAGATAGTCCCTTAATATAAATTTAGTATCTAAAAAATGCTAAAGAAGCGTAGGATAAGCTTAAAAAGCTATATAATCCGTCGAACTTTTCGTCGAATTATCTACTTATTAAGCAGCTCTTTAATCTTAGTCCCTTAGACTTTAATTTAGAGAAATACCTTTATAAGGTAAAGGAAATCTACGAGGATTTAAAATCCTATAATATAGAAATTCTAGAAGTTATTCTTATAGCATAGATTCTTAATTGCCTTAATAAGGAATTTAGAAGCTATATTATAAATATTACGTAGAGCCTTAAGTATAATTCTACGGCGTTTACCCTCGAAACCCTTATAGCTAGTCTTTTAAACGAAGCTAGAAGAATAGAGGATATAGACGAATCTTTAGAGAAAGCCTTCCTAATACAAAAGAAGCCTTAGAAATCCTATAGAAATTCTATAGATACTCCTTATTATAAGGAATATAAAAAACCAAGGCATTTTATAGTAAATTGCTATAAATTATACCTAAATAAGGCTCCTATTTATTAGGTATTAAATAAAGGAAAAAAGGATAATAAGACTTAAATTTCTAAGAAGAGAAAATCTTCTTCTTTTTTTAGGAAGAAATCCCCTTCTAGTAGTATTTCTACTACTAATAAAAGAAGGAAGGCTTAAATTACTAAGCTAGAGTCCGATTCGAAAGATAGTAATAAGGTCTTAAATATAGCTTTATAAGAAGAAAATATAGACCTAGATATCGACCTTATAGACCTTTCTAAGGCCCTAACCCCTATATAAACGTCTAAGGATTTAAAGGTAATTTTAACCTCTATAAATACCCCTATAGTAGAAGCTAATAAAGACTTTCTTTTAAGACCTCTAAAAGCCTCGATTCCTAGAATAAAGGAATTAGTCTTAAAGGTAAGAGAAGGAGGATTTCCTAGTTATAAGAATAAAAGGATCTTTAATTTTATTTATAATACCGGAGCTACTAAGTATATAGTATCTAATAAGAATTTCCTTATTAACTATAAAGAAATTAAGTCTAAAGTTTACTAGGGAAAAGCTTCCTTTATATTAGTAAAAGGAAAGAGGGACTTAGTATTTAAGTTCCCGTATAGTAGAAAAAGGTATATCCTTTAAGACTGCTTTTATATACCTAAATTAAGGGTAAATATACTATCCTAATCTTATTTTAATAATACCTATGCCTTAATAAAAGGAAATAAAGTCCTTTTATTAGATAATAAGGCTAAGGTCCTTACTAAAGGATTTCTTAGAAATAAATTATATTATATTCCTATAAAACCTTTATTAGAAAGCTAATCGATCCTTATTATATCTTTAAAAGTAAAGGATATAGATTTTTATACTTAGTACTTACGCTTAGGGTATATAAATAGTAGGGCTATTTTAGAAATATTAAAAAGATATAATAAGGATATAAAAATACCTTTAAAAGAGGAAAATAAAATAAGGCAATACGAAATATATATTAGAGCTAAAGCAACGAATAAGGTTAATAAACAACCTTCGTATAAGTCTTATTCTTATTTAGAAAAAATAGTATTAGATATTTAGGGGCTAATTAAAGTGCCTACTTATAATAAATATTACTATTATATTTCTTTCCTAAACGTAGGAACCTAATATCTAGAAATATACCTTCTTCGAAAAAAGAAAGAAGCTCTAAATAGGTTCCTAGAATTTAAAAATAGGGTAGAAAATAACCCTAAAAATACTAGGATTAAAGAAGCATTTTCTAATAATGCTAAAGAATTTATATATAAAATAAAGCTTTATTACGAAAAAGAAGGAATTACCTTTAATTCTAGTCTTCCTAGGACGCTAGAATCTAATAGTAGAATAAAAAGAATAAATCGTACTATATTAGAAAAAGTATAAGCTCTTTTATTTACTACTAGGCTTCCTAAATATCTATAGGGAGAAGCTGTTTTAATAGCTACTTATTTATATAATAGATTACTATATTCTACGATAGGATTTAAAAGTCTTATAGAAAAGAGGGATAATATAATACTACCCTTTAAGACCTTAAATAAAATTAAGACCTTTAGAAGCCTTATATATTATAAGAATAAAGACCTTAAAGATAAGCTAGATAATAAAGCTTTTAAGGGAATAATAGTAGGCTATTTAAAAAATATATATAAAATCTAGGATTTTTCTAAGAGAAAGATTACTATCTCTAAAGATATTACTATACTAGAAAATAAATTTATAAAAAATCTAGAAATCTCTAGTAGTAATAATACCTTTGATTTTAATTTTATTCCGAATAAAAATAAGCTAGAAAGCTATATCCCTATAGAGGAAGCTACTAAAGAACCTAGAGATAAAAGTCCCTTGCCCTTTATAGAAGAAGAGTCTTTAAATAACGATCCTATTCCTACTACTAGTAAAATAGTAGTAGAATTACCTAAGAAGCCGGAAGGGTTTAATTCTAACTATATCGAATACCCTAACGTTAATTTATTTCTAAACTGCGATTTTATAGAGTTAATTCTAGCTAGTATAGAAAATCAGGATCTAAAAATTCTAAAGACCTATAAATAGGCAATAAATAGCCCTAAAATAGTATTTTAGAAAGATACTATAATTAAGGAAATTATCTAGCTAATTAAATATAAAACTTAGGAATTTTCCTACCTCCCTAGGAATAAGGAGGCTATAGGAGGCCGCTAGGTCTATACTATTAAGAAGGATAGTTAAAATAATATAATAAAATATAAAGCCCGTTTCGTAATATAGGGATTTAAGTAGATCTATAGCTTATATTTCCTAGATACCTTCTCGACTATAGCTAGACCTAAATCTATTAGAATTCTACTTATTTTAGCTATTATCTATAAATTCGAAGCTTTATAAATAGATATAATAAATGCCTTTATATATACCGATATAGATAGCGAAGTATATATCGATCTTCCTATAGGCTACGAAGAATATGCTCTTAAAGAATATTATTTAAAATATAGATTAGCTTATAGAGCTAAAGGAATTAAATTAACTAAATTCCTAGACCTATATAAAACCGGTTAAATTAAAGCAAAGCTAAAGAAAGCATTATATAGCCTAAAATAAAGTCTTAAGCTCTAGTATAATTATTTAAAAATTATACTAAATAATCTTAGATTTCTTTCTCTTTCATAAATAAAGGAG